CTGTTCTATACTTTCCTGGGTCCCACTTTTGGGACCATTGAACTTTCTCCCCCATATCTCAAAGCTTGACTGATGCCCAGCCAGCCCTGTTTTCCTTCAGTTTTTGATATCAGTTCCCTTACCTACTGCCCTATCACCTATTATAAATAGTGTCCTTGACCTTTACACCTCTAACTCCACCACTATGTCTCTTCACTTTTAGGACCTTGTTTCTAACTGCACAGAGAGTACAGACTTCCTAAGAGAAAAACCACCCTCAAATCCCATTTCTGCTTCACATTTATCTTGTATCCCTCCCTTCCTGTCCCAGTGGCAGAACACCCCCTTTTCCTTCTCATGGTAACTTTCTTACCTGTACTGTGAATCCTATGGAATTAATAGTTAATATTTTTTTCAACATCTTAGTGTTTATATGTTTCCTCCTTGGATCCTCCCTCTTAGTCCATCTGAAGGTGAGAAAACTAGTTTAGAAAGGTTGAGAGATTTTCCCACGGTCACATATGAGCCAAGATTTTATCCGAACCAAACTAATTCCAAATCCCTTTCCCATAGTCATTATTATTCTTATTTTGGAAATCTCTGACCATCAGATATTTTCTGCTTCCTCCCAGTTTTTTCCACCCATTCTATGTCTCTTCCTCTCCCTCCTCCCCACCCCACTTATGGCTTGTTTATTCCAGGATCAAACAGACACAAGTTTCTTTCATCTGTTAAAATGAACATCCATCTTCCTAAAATTGCTACATCCTTTTTACAAGCGAAATCACTGAGAAAACACTCTACCGCCGATATACTCACAGCCTCCATATTCTTCCACCTAATTTCTCAGCCCACTTCAGTCTGCCCTAAACCTGACAAAGGTTGCTTCAGGATTACCAGTGACCTCCATGTTGCTAAGTTCAAGGGGTGCTCCTTGGGTTCTTTTGTACTTGACATTCCTGAATCATTTAATACTACTGATTTCTTTTTGGAAGTACCCTCTTCTGTGTGTTCTCATGGACCTCCTCTTTCCTGATGTCTGTGTGTGTCTGACTGCTTACCTCTAGCCTCATTTGAGGACCCAGCCTTCTCTGCCCATCACTAAAGTGTGTGTGTGTGTGTGTGTGTGTGTGTGTGTGTGTGTGTGTGTAAGTGGTCTTTCTGACATTGCACTAAGCCTCTTTATTCTCATTCTGCTGTGTGTTCTGGGTAACCTCACTCCCTCTTGTGGCTTCTGTTGCTAGCCCACTCTGGCAAATTCAAAGTCTTTATCCCTATCCTTAATAAGGGCCTGAGGAGCTGTCTTTGTTGGTCTTCCATTGCCTACTGGACATCTCAATTTGGATGACCCTTAGGAATTGTTGGATTGAACATATGTGAAACTGCGCTTATCTTCCAGAAGGCAGAGTAGGGTCATTGTGGGAAGTATTTAAGTCTTAAATACTCAGAGCAGTGCTAACTGTGGAGGGAATTGGTTGGTAGCTTCAATGGGCATTAACAACTGTCCTGGGTTCATCTACCCTAAGTACTAGCATAACTACTGCTCATACTACAGTTCCCTCCTCCCCCAACACACACTGCCTCCTTCCCCAGTTCTCTTTCCTACCTTAGTTCACTGTAACATCGAGAGTAGACTGTAGCATGATGGTGACACAGAACACCTAACATGCACAGGTGCCAACAGATATTTTCCAAGTGTCCTCTCACTTGATCCTGGCCATGACCCTCTTAGGTAGGGTCTGTTCTTTCCTTTAACTTCTAAGAAAATGAAACATCCACGATTAAGTAACTCATGTGTGGTCTCACAACCACTGGAATTTGTATTCAGACTTGCTGACCCTTTAGCTCCGTCTCTTGGTGGTTATGTTCCTCCTTTCCACACTTTCTGAATCCAGGCCACTAACCTGAGGCTCATCTTTTACTCTTTTTTTCTTGCCACCACCCCTACCAAAATTCAACCAGTTACTGAATTTTGTCAGCTTGACCTCCTGCATATCAAAAGATATGTTCATTTCTTTATTCCAGTTGGATATCCCTTATTATAAATAGTGGATCCTGCCTTCCTAGAAGTCTCCTAATTTATTATTACTACGAATATCTTCATTTATCTCATGAATTCACATATTGCTCCCCTTCCATGTGTTCTCTACAAAACAACCAGTGTATGTGTTCTTCAACAACCCTTTCCAAGATATTTTTCTGCTGCCATCCTTAGGGTTAAGTTCAAAATCTTTAATATAACTTTCAGTGTCCTTTCCTGATTGGCTTCTGTTGTTTTTTTCAGCTCCATTTCTTTCCACTTCTCCCTCAGCAAACCAAGATCTGGTTTTATTGAGAATTTCTTGAGTTCCCAGATCATGAAAGAGAAAGAATGGCATAGGTAATACCTAGAAGCAGGGAGCTTGCCTTGACTCTAGGTCCCACTAGATTCTGGGATCAGTTTTGTCTCTGCGTATGACACACAGACTGTCACAGACCAGGCCAGAGACTGTATCTCTTTTACAGACTGCTGTATGCTCTGGCTTTCCACATTGCCTAAAATTTCCAGGTAGGGGCTCAGTTAAAATGTCACATTAGCTATTATAACTCAGATTTTTATGACCTCCTTGAGTCCTTGAGGCCATGCTGCTTCTTAGCAAGAGCGGTAGTGGTTTGCAGCACTGATTTACTAGCAAACTTGGACTCTACTCATCATATCTGCTAAGCCTCAGTTTCCTTCTTTGTAAAATAAGGGTGATAAATGCATCGACCTTCCAAGGTTGAGAAAACAAAATGAGGGCAGCGCATGCTGAGTGTCAATCACAGTACCTGAATCTTGGAAATAATCCTCAGATGGGAGGTTTTCATCCACACTTTTATCTCTCAAGGTAACATTTGCTTAGTGCCACCTACATGTGACATTGTCAAAGCAGTGTGTACTGATGGGCTGTTATTCACAGAAAATAAAAATTGAGAATAAAGGTAATTGTATTAGGGTAATTCTCTGGGTTTTAAAAGTATTTTGTTCATTAAGACATTTTTGCTTGGTAACTATGTCTATACATACTAAACTGAAAATGTTGACCAAGGTTCTGTTTGTTGTTAAATAAAAGAGAATGATCATATTTTAATTTTAATGAAGCCTTGTACCTATGTAACATAATGAAATTTAGACTGGGCTCCGTGGATGGCAAATGCTTCATATTTATGTGACTGACTTCTTTTGTATGGCAATATTTATAGTAAGCTGCAGATTATCATCATGTGACAGTAGGATAAATGTAACTCTACCAAGTTTCAAAGAAGGTTTTAATATTTTTTTCATTCTTTTATTTGGTTTTGGTACTAGAGATTGAACTCAAGGGCAGTTTACAGACACCTGATCTATATACCTACCCCTTCTTATTTTTTATTTTCAGACAGGGTCTCACTAAGTTACTTAATGTCTCACTAAATTGCTGAGGCTTCAAACTTGAGATTCTCTTGCTTCTGTCTCCTGAGTTGCCGGGATTACAGGCTTGTGCCACTGTGCCTAGATATGTTCATTTCTTTATTCCAGTTGGATATCCCTTATTATAAATAGTGGATCCTGCCTTCCTAGAAGTCTCCTAATTTATTATTACTACGAATATCTTCATTTATCTCATGAATTCACATATTGCTCCCCTTCCATGTGTTTTTATTTTATACCATAAAATAGAACACTTCTCATAAAATGAGTCAATAGAGGGTGTTTTGGAAGCATGGTGTTATGGGTTCAAATCTTGGCTCCCCACATATTACCACTACAACTTTGGACATGTTCTTTAACATATATGATCTTTGGATTCTTCTTCTGTAAAATGGCCATATTCTCCTCCCTTAATGTTTCCTGGGAAGACAAAGGGACTTAATATGTAAACCAGCACAACACCTGCTACATCATAGATAACTCCTGCTTACAAAAGCAACCACATATCTTACATTCAAAAACAGCCCAAATTAAATTAGAAAGAGATCTATTTGAAATGTTTGATCATTATAAAAGTAACTCTATTGCCAATCTGGATTTACATGTCATCCAAGGAATACAATTTATAATGAATTTTTCTATAGTTCAGTTTTTCACCTGTATTTCTCTGCTACCTACATAACAAGAAAATGTGTAAGTTTAAGAATTATAGTTCATGCTGTTTAATATGAAGAGTGAAACCTCACAATAATTAATATTTGAGAAGCCAACCTGTGCTCTCAATATTTTAGTAAGTTTTAAAATTCCCAACAACCTGCAGTACTTTGTTTTTCTACCACAGTGTGAATTTTTGTCACAAGCTCCTAATCTCCAGTAAATCCTCTGTCATGTAACCATTAATTATAGGAGGATTTTGATGAACCTATATGTACTGTAACAATCTATGAAACAATAAAAATACAACTGCTGTTAACAATGATTATTGTTACTCAGTTATTATGAGTACTATGATTAACATGAGAAGTGCACAAAACAGAACAGTGAACTTTTTGGAGTGTTTCACTTTATAAAATTGTTGGAAAGTGGAATATTTATAAGAAGGCATTTCAATTTGTGCATGGCTTTTGTCTTTATAAGTGACTTACTGCTTTTCTCCTGATGTTTCCTCCTGCTAAATTTTCTTAATTGATATCTGTGCTCTCTCTCTCTCTACTTCCCTGGCAGTCTTTTCCCCATAAAAGGACCCATCTGTCTAAGGTAGAGATTCTCCATTTTTACATACCATCAGTGACTTAGTTGGGTAGACATGATTATCATTTACAAGTTACATTTAATTCTTTCTTTTCAAAATTCAGAGGTGCTTCATTTGTTTTTCTTTAAGTCAAATCTGTTCTCTTTAGTCTGTGTTCAAGCACCCAAAAGTACATCTAATTTCTAATCATAGTCATAGAGCAAAGAATGTTTTAAACTTGCTAATCTATGATAATTAAAAATAATACTTGGAAAACTGATGCTTTGTATTATGTAAATGTATAAAGAGAGAAAAAAGTACTTTCAGAAAAGTGACTTTATTTTTATTTGATGTTATTAGACTTGAATTTGAGCGACAACAGCGTGAAGAACTTGAAAAATTAGAAAGTAAAAGGTAAGGCATGTTGGGTTTGAGTTCTACTCCTGTGTTTGCTGCCTACACTGACTTCCTATGTGTCTGCTTCTGCCCTCTCTCTTGCTGTTTGTCGTTTACATGTATAATGTCTGTAGTTGGTTTCTTTTAAACTGTTTGAGTTTACTTCATGTTTAGTTTTTTTTTTAACTTATGATTTTATTCCATTTTTTTATTGGTTGTTCAAAACATTACAAAGCTCTTGACATATCATATTTCATACATTTGATTCAAGTGGGTTATGAACTCCCATTTTTACCCCAAATACAGATTGCAGAATCACATCGGTTACACATCCACATTTTTACATAATGCCACATTAGTGACTGTTGTATTCTGCTACCTTTCCTATCCTCAGCTATCCCCCTTCCCCTCCCCTCCCATCTTCTCTCTCTACCCCATCTACTGTAATTCGTTTCTCTCCTTGTTTATTTTCCCATTCCCCTCACAACCTCTTATATGTAATTTTGTATAACAATGAGGGTCTCCTTCCATTTCCATGCAATTTCCCTTTTCTCTCCCTTTCCCTCCCACCTCATATCTCTGTTTAATGTTAATCTTTTCCTCCTGCTCTTCCTCCCTGCTCTAGTTTTTTAAGCAGTTTATCTTCAAATACTTGTAAGAAAGGGGGAGTAGAGTCAGAAAGCAGATTTAATATACCAGGTTAGTACACCAAATATATATTTGTTTCATCTTAACTCAAAAACATGTCTTCTCTCAATAGTCTTCCTTGAGTTTTTAAAAAGCCAAAAGAATCAAAGAGAATGAATGCAAGATCAAAAATTTCCTTTTACTTCTCCATTTTACACACACTTTTCCTTATATTGTTTGTCTGTATATATTTTCCCATCTATAATTTGCCTGTTTTGCTCACTTTTCTTTTGTGGGATGTGGCCAGGGATGTGTGTTTTTGGCTATTTGATTGATTTGGTAAGTTGTTTATATGCTCTGAAATAGTCTTTGTTGATAAAACTTTATTTTCTCTCTATTTTTTTAACCATTCTATTTAACAACCAAAGAAGTGGATAAATATTGGAGTAGAAGCTAAGGCCATAGGGGATCTTCAAACTAGACATTTATTTTCTAGAATCTGGATTGTAAATGTTACAAATGAATCAGTTTAGTTTCCAGAAACATAGAGGGAAGATGTTTGGTGAGACAAGAATCAAGCCTATGTATACACAATCTTATTCTGTATCATTGTTTTGGAGGCCAAAGCCAATGCCTAAAATCTGATTTAGCACCCAGTGAGGATTTTGTATTCTAAGAGAAAACACACATGTAACCCCTAAAATTGTGCATTTCAGCATTCTAATGGAGACTCTAGTTATTTTCAGTGTTATACATTAATAAGCAAATATTTGGGGCCACTTGATGATTACTGTTTACCTAAACTAGTGATTAAATACTATGTAGCAAGTAGTTATTTGAGCTGAAACAATACTTTGATATTCGAATTCCAAGAGTTAAAGACAGCATGAGTATTTTAATGTCATCTTGTTACTGAATGTCTTAAGTTTTAGTCATTGGGCTGAATAAAATTATTCACATTTAAATTTAAATTGGACATGGTTCTTTCTCTTTGAGCTCAGGGGGCTTTTAAAATTATATCATGCATAACACATTATGATTCTAAGCTCTACAAAGAAATTATATCAGAGGCTACTTCGGGAGACTAGGCAGATATGTTGGACAGATGACATGCTGTTGAAAATTTGAAAGAAGGACACTTTCTCCTCTTTTATTTAATGAAGAATTTGGCTTTGTGTTGCGTATGCATTTTTAGAACATTCCAGTTAGGGAAAAGTTAGAACAACATTTAACATAGTGATCAAATAATGATCGGTTAATGTCTGCATTGTAGGAAACTCATAGAAGAAATGGAGGAAAAGCAGAAGTCAGACAAGGCGGAGCTGGAGAGGATGCAGCAGGAGGTGGAGACCCAGCGCAAAGAGACAGAAATCGTGCAGCGCCAAATCCGCAAGCAGGAGGAGAGCCTCAAACGCCGCAGCTTCCACATTGAGAACAAGCTCAAGGATTTGCTAGCAGAGAAGGAAAAGTTTGAGGAGGAACGGCTGAGAGAGCAGCAGGAAATTGAGCTGCAGAAGAAAAGACAAGAGGAAGAAAGCTTTCTGCGTGTCAAAGAGGAGCTCCGGAGGCTCCAAGAACTCAGCAACAGTGAGCAGGCCGAGAAGATTCAGATATTCCAAGAGCTGGACCGTCTCCAGCGGGAAAAAGATGAACAGCGCGCCAAGCTGGAACTGGAGAAAAGGAGACTGGAGGAGCAGGAGAAGGAGCAGGTGCTGCTTGTTACCCACTTGGAGGAGCAGCTGCGAGAGAAACAAGAGATGGTTCCATTGCTGCGATGCAGTGAGGTCCAACGGGCAGAGGAGGAGAAGAGGGACCTGGAAGACATCAGGGAAGCCCTCCTGCGGGCCAGGGAGGCCAGGGCAGGAGGGGAGGAGGAAGATGGTGAGCATCTGGAAAAAGCTCACCTACATTTCTTGGAGTTCAAGAAAAGGCAGCTTGTCAAACTAGCTAACTTGGAGAAAGACCTGGTCCAGCAGAAAGACCTCCTGAGAAAAGAAGTCCTAGCAGAGCAGGAAGCCCTCCAGCGCTTAAAATGTGAAAAGGAGGAGCAATCTAAGTGGTTAGCAAAAAATGATGCTAGCGTCACAAGTGTCTCACATGTGGCTGGAGATTTAGAGAAAATAAAGCCAGTAGAGTACAGGCTGCAATGTAAAGAACGCCAGCTACAATACCTCCTGCAAACTCATCTGCCAGCTCTGTTGGAAGAAAAGCAGAGAGCGCTTGAAATCCTTGACAGAGGTCCTCTGGGCTTAGACAACACTCTTTATCAAGTAGAAAAAGAAATGGAAGAAAAAGAAGAGCAGCTCGCGCAATACCAAGCCAGTGCAAGCCAGCTGCAGCAGCTCCAGGCCACCTTTGAATTCACTGCCAATGTGGCACGACAGGAAGAAAAAGTGAGGAAGAAGGAAAAGGAGATTCTAGAATCACGGGAGAAGCAGCAGAGAGAGGCGCTGGAGCGTGCAGTGGCCAGGCTGGAGAGAAGGCACTCTGCTCTGCAAAGGCGCTCTACCTTGGGCCTGGAGACAGAAGAGCAGAGGCAGAAGCTTGCTAGTCTCAACAGTAGCACCAATGTCCTGGAAGCTCAGCAGGAGGTCCTGGAGAAGGACCAGGAGAGGTGAGAGTAGGGAGAACATAGGTTACAATAGGAACCAAATCATGCTCATTTTCTATTCCTCATGGAGTTTCTGTCTTTTTTAAGTGATTTTTTTATATAATAATTTCTTTTTTTAAAAAAATTTTATTGATTTTTTTAAAAATAAATGACAGGTGGAATGTATTATAATTGTTATTACACATATAGAGCACAATTTTTCATATCTCTGGTTGTATACAAAGTATATTCATACCAATTTGGTCTTTATACATGTACTTTGGATAATGATGTCCATCACATTCCACCATCATTGCTAACCCCATGCCCCCTCCCTTTTACTCCCACCCCTCTGCCCTGTCTAGAGTTCCTCTATTCCTCCCCATGCTCCCCGTCCCTACCCCACTAGGAGTCAGTTACCTCATATCAGAGAAAACATTCGGCATTTGTTTTTTTAGGATTGGCTAACTTCACTTAGCATTATTAAACATATTCTCTGATACATGGACAAATACTTATTTTTATCAAACCTGAGAAAAGTATCCTTAAACATTCTTTCATTTCTGTAGGATCCTTGTTTTGGAACAATAGACCTAAAGTTAAAAAAATCATAATTAAAGTCCTTGCTCATTGCTCCTGGGCTTTGGTTAAGGTCTCAACTGCTCAAAGAAAACTTCTGCCTTGATTCCCCTTTTACTTCCCCCTCCCTGCCCCTCCCTCTCTTTCTCTGTTTTTCCTTCCTTCCTCCCCTTCTGTCTTCTCTCCCTTTCATTCCCTTCCTTTGCCTCCTCTGTCCCTTCTTCTACCCTCTTTCTTTCCTCCCTGCATTCCTCCTTCCTTCCCACTTTTCTTCCCCTTCCTCCCCTTGTTCCTTCTCTTTTCCTTCTCTCCCTCTTCTTTGCTTTCCTCTCTCATGTCCTTCCCTGTTCCCACACCTGCCCTTCCTCAGTAATGTCATCATGTCTTCTAGAGCTAGCACTTGTTACAATAAAGCGTCATTCCTAAAATTCCTGCATTACATCTAATGTACTGATTCCCACAACCTGAGGAGAAATAAATTCCAATACTTCTCCTACTACTCATGATTCAAATATTTGAGAGGAGAATCAAGGACTCTATATTAAAAAACAACCATACCAAACAAAACTCTCCAGCTGATTTTGAACACAGTGTAATATTCAAGCATTCTTGGTGATATACTACTGTTTTTGGTATTGTAAAAGATAGAATTAGGAAACTAGAAATATTTTAAAGAATATTTATTTTTCTGTGCCTGTTTCCTGTCTCCATGCTTATCAGACAATAGGTTCTTAAAATTAATAGACACACGGATTCTGTACAGGTGATGCTAAGATTCTCAGAGGGGCCCGGCACCTGGTTTGGAGGCTTATAAGGAGACATCATACCCTGGCCCAGCCCTTTCCTGCCTGGGTGACATTGATGACGTTGGGCAATGTCCTTCATCTTTGGGCCTCAGTGTCCTGACCTATACAAGGGGTTGGTTGAGATCAGAGGTCTGTGTATTTTCTTTTAGCTCCAAACCCTTTGAGCAGTTGAGACCTTAACCAAAGCCCAGGTTAGAGGGCCTGGACCTGCCCTCTCCCACCCATGGCCACCTTCTGAGAGGGGCTCCAACTGAAGCAGTCTACTACCTTAAGACTTCAGCTTTCATTTGACGAAGGCATGGGGTGACTTGCTGATGACAAAGTTAGATCTACTCAAAAATGTTACTGTAGCCCATCATCTTTCCTGAAAAGGTCAAAGCAACTTCCAAATGATTGGCTTATACTGTGGATCATATTTATAATGGCTCTCTGGTAATCCCTTCAGGCAAAACAGCAACAAAATAACAATAAAAAAGCTTATTATTTCAGAGAAATAGGTCAGAGGTTTAAGAAAATGATTACAGGTGTGCTATGTAAATGAAATTGCTGGACAAAGCTCCTGCCTCAGGAAATTTGAAGTAGTGGAGGGCACGCTCTCAATTTGTGTCCTTCAGTTTGCAATAAGAATGCATCATGAGCTTTTAGCTTGATGTTACTGACTTTGTCAACCAGCGATTTAGTGTTACTTCTCTATAAGAGTGGAGGTAAGATTGTGATTTTTATGGAAGGATTTCCTAGCATCAACATTCCTTCAGAAGCCACACAAAGGAGGCCTTGAGCATCATGAGTTTTGGTGAAATAGACTTTGCTAAGATCTAATTCGGGCCAGTGAACTCTGGATTCTGTGCTTTGTCTGTACTGTCCCTGGAGCTTGCTGTGGATGTTTCCATTGTGTTTATTTTCTCTGTGGGTTCTCATGACTAAGTCAAGATTATCTGTGCAGCTTGACTTGGCGTCTTGTGAAATTCCACAAGTGTGAAATATTAAATTCATGTGGGATCAGATTGGACAACAGAACACTGAGCTTGGTTTTCCCATTGGCTTCTCAGTACTTTATGAACAAGGTTTAATTTATTTCACTGTCTTCTTTTCTACCACCTGCTAATTCTGACAGCCCCAATAACATGTATCATGCAGCCCCACTAGAAAAACCCTCTTGCCACCATAGCAGGGACAACAGAAGAAAACTGTCAGTACTCGTATTCAATCACATATTTTTATCAGAGTTCTTTCATAATGATAAATATAACTCATGATGCCAGCCAGAACGAATAATCCTGTGTTAACGCAGACTGTGTTTTAATGCCATATGTGCATTGTCGTTTACTCTTTCTTGGAAGAGAGTACCATCATTTCCAGTTAACAGATGGGGAAATTGAATCTGCTTTGCTTATGTAGCCACTGAGGACTTGTGTCACATAGGACTTGTGTCACGCAAAATGGTAATGGATCTATTTCCCAGTCATCTCTTAGCTTTCTTGCCGTCTTATCTACTGAAATTTAGATTCAGAGGGCTGGCAGCACCTTGGTGTGTCAGCATTTTATTTTTAGAGCTGAATGAAATGAAAGATCAATTGACTCCTATTTGGTTCATAAAGAAATTGAGATCTAGATTGAAATAACTTGCCCACCTTCATATAGTGACTGGATCTTATGCTCCCTGGGGCCAGATTTATTGGCCAGCTTGGCCCTAGTCTAGCCTGATGGCCCTGGAATCAAGCATGGCCAGTGGGAGGATGGCTGTAAACATAGTTGACCTCATATTAGAAGTATCACTTTTCACTGGAGATAATTTTCTGGTTGTTATTAAAATAACCAAGATTCATAGTTATTTTAGTTTGTCACGGAACTCAATCTGCTTTCCTAGATTTGTCTTCTCTTCTTTATCTCCCCTCTTCTTCTGCCCTCACAAAAGTGGTTGGTTTTCATGGCATAGCTCCTTCATTTGTGTTGCTTTATATGCACCTGGAACATCTTCCACCATCACTCCAGATGCCCATATTATCCCTGTCTTTTTAAGACAACTTTGAACTGCCTGACCATGAATTTCCTCTTAGATTGGTGGTTTCTGAAAGCTCTTTGAAGCATAAATTTCTTTGTCAAGAGAAGTATTCAACAGAATTTCGTATGTACTCCACAACCAACTCTTATTGAAGCAGGAATTAGGGAATCAGAATTCTTCACAGCTATTTCCAAGGATGAGCTTGGAAGGTAGTACAAGTTATCTTTACCTTTATTGGTCAGATTCTTCAACTTTTGAATCCCTGTGGCAGCACTTGTCTTCAATCTTTCTTATGACTTATTTTTACCTCATATCTTGTCTTATAAGTGTGTAGCACCTTTACTAGAAAGTAAAGCTCTTTGTATGTAGAGTTTTTGTCTGAATACCCTGGGGTTTTTAAAACAATGCTTTATAAAGGGAATGTGTTCCAGAAATTCTGTTAATGAACAAATTCATGTGATTCCCATCATTGTAGGTTAGAACATGAAATCCAGCAACTGAAGCAGAAGATTTGTGAGGGAGACTGTGTTCAAAGAGGTGACCATGGGACCCTGGAGAGGAAGGCTGCTTCTTTCAGCTTGCTACCCAGTACTGAAAAATCTCACCTGGCTCCCCTAATGGATGCCAGGTACTCAATATTAAACTGATGCAATGATTTGATTTTATTTAATTTAGTGGTGAACATACCAGCATTGGCCAGTTTGCATGTAGAGGGATCTATCAAAGCCTACAGTAATACGCATGCCTGAGAAGTTCTCTGTCTTGTCAGCTGATGCCTGATGATGGGGACAGGAATGGAGTGTCATTTGAACTTAAATTGGCACCTGAGAACCAAGTCAGCCAAATCCAAGGTATCTTGATGCAGATGGTTTGTGTGAGAAGGTGGAATTGAAAGGTGCAGGAAAACCAGATCATCCAGAACCAGAGTGATGCAAGGCTATGATGAAAAGCACAAAAACAGAATTAATTGAATTACACTGAGAAGAACCTTGTACTGGCTGTTACTTTATATAAGTATTGATTATATTAGATGGAGTTTATTATAAAAACTGTACTAGTATATTCAGAATGACCATGAGTATAATAAATATATATCTGATGTTACTGTAATAAAATGATTTTCAATGTAGGTGGCATTGTGAATTGCTCTGTGTCATGGAGCTCTCAGATAAATCAACTTAATCATTCTTTGCCTTAAAGAAAGTAGCGATCATTTTCCTCCTCCCCATTTGTATCATGGGGACACTTCAAACTGGGCAGTTCTGAGGCCTGGATTAGGAAATAAGTATTTGGATATCAAAATATAGTCAGAATGACATGAGTCTCTATAGTTCCTTTTGTCTAGGTCTGTCCCGCATTTGCCTCATGGGATTAGTTTCAAATTTTATTGATGGTCAGGGGAGATAATTTGTGAATACCCTTGGCTCATGTTCAGTTGCACATGATTTTGTTTTCAATACTGAAAGGTAATATTGTACTTTATTTAGGCCATTCTATCTAAAATATTAATCTTCTTGTCCAGCATTTCAGAAAATTATTTCTCTGTTGAGCGGTAGTACAGAAATATTGATAGGATTATGCGTATGTTTAGAAACACAAATCAGGTAAATTTATTTGGCATATGTGCCAAGATGTAACTATGGAAATCATTTAATTTTTTTTTTTAACTTTGAAACAAAGTCTCACAAAGTCTCTGAGGTTAACCTTGAACATGTGACCTCCTGCCTTAGCCTTCCAAGACACTGGGATTATAGGTGTACACCACTATGTCCAGCCAAAACCAACTAATTTTTTTAAAAAAATTTCCTTCTAATCAATGTCTGTAGCATTGGAGGAGATGAGCCTATAACGGAGCAACTGGAAAGACCTTTGGTGTGGCTGAAATTTCCTACTCTCTCTGGTGCTTCTGTATTGAATGACTTCAGTGCAGACCAGAGATCAAGCTGGCATCCACTAGGATGGTTAAGGCTAATGGTTGTATTAAGTAATAATACAACTTCACTTATATTCTATGGGACACCAGATAGGACTTGACAACTTCTTCAAAGGTCAACTGTTTGTGGCTTCTTCTCTGACTTGGCCCTGTTTGGGGGTTTTGGGGAGGTGAAACCTTTAAGGTACCTTACTGGACAGCTCCAGATAACCCATCTGGAGAGATAAGACTGACCAGAAATAATGCAAGAATGTCAAGCATTGTGTCTTACACATAGTTGCTGAATAATAAACAAGTATAGATCTTATGACCTCTTTTTTTTTGTTTTTTGTTTTGTTCTTTTTTGTAATCCTTATAAGTGACCTTGTGCTTGAGAACTAATTATCATCTGTGTCAGTCTGTTCTGGGTGAGGAAACCCACTGTTCTGCCTTAGGAACAGATCTGAGACAACAGAGTCCCTAAAGTCAGGGACTGTGATTTTTTTCCCCAGTCCTGCAGCAGGTTGCCGCTAAGGAAATCAGAAGTCTTGGATGGGGTCGCTTAGACTCCTTTCCAGACTCAATGCTCTGTTATTTGTCCAGTTCTTTCTCATTTGGGGGAAAAAAATAAACAGTGAACATATGGCTCTAGATTTCCTGGAAAGAAGAAAACTGTGTGAGGTCTCAAATTGATTTTTTGTTTGGCAGTTAGAATGGGAAAGCTCCCTATTGTTTGGGGCTTAGGAAAGAAAGATATAGCAACCTTGTGTGGTTAGAAGCATTTATATTTGTCTTGACTCCATGGCTTTCAGGATCAATGCTTATATTGAAGAAGAGGTCCAAAGACGTCTTCAGGATTTGCATCGTGCTATTGGTCATGCTAGCAACATATCTGCAGATATGATGAAGGTAAGCTGAAGGAACTAAGTTACATGGTCATTCATTTCTCAAAGTGAAAATTCAGATGTTGAATATTCAAAAAAAAAGTACTAATACTGCTTGGATGGGGCTTAACAGTTTACAAATCTTTTTAATTCAAGTATTTTAGTTGGCAATTTTGTGATTCTGAGAAAACCTTTATTAAGTGAATATAAAGTTTTCTAATTCTTTGGTTTATAAACATCCTAGATGTAACATTTTTCTGTTTTCTCTCAAATGCAACCTATTTCAATAAATATTTAATTTACTTTGTAAACTATTCAAGAACAAATATATTTTCCCCTTGAGAAGAAAAGGTATTTGCAACAGATGATTTTTATCAAAATAAAGACAATTCATTTCTAACCTGCAAATTAAGAAATATCCTAAGGAAATCTTGCTTTCAATATTAGAACTTTAAGATCATTGAACTGTTTAGGTTCAGTTCTTTTTCAGACAGATCGATCAATAGTCATGTTTATCTTGGGAACGTAAATTCTGTAAAAGGGTTGTCATTGTTGAATGACAAGTATGTTTCTGTAGAATTTTATTCCCATAAGTATGTCTAATCAAATCAGTTTTTTTCTCCTCTATGAACATGCTATAATTTAATATAGAGGGCTTTTTATTTATTTTCAGGATAATGAGAAACTTCACAATGGCACCATTCAACGTAAGCTAAAATATGAGGTAGGTAATGATTTTTCAGATTGATAGGGTCGCCTTAAATTATGGCATGCTTGTGTGATTAAATTTTCTTAATGTTTAGTTGCATAATTAGAATTTTGAAGTCCCAGTGAGATTAATGGCTAATAGGGAAGGCAAGCTATTATATGGACTTAGAATTAAACGGAATCCTGCAGGTTGAAAACTGCTTTGACTTTCTTGAACAACACGCAGGTTTGGTGGAGCTTTGCCCAGTTTTTCATTTGTAACAGTATCCTTTTCCTTGGTCTGCATTTAAAAGACAGAATTATATAATCGGGATCAGATATGGGGTTTGGAAATGAAACTGAGTACTTTTTAATGTTTTAAAAACCCTATTCATTTTGTAGACTGTGAGTTGGCAACAGCATAAAGGAAATACTCTTGGTTAATTAGCTTATTTCTCTGGTTGATTATCAAACTAACAATTTTGGGGGGCATACAATTTGTAAGATTTTACTTGTATTTTCTTCCCGGAAAGGGAATGTCCTTCACATTTTCCCATAAAAACAAACAACAACAAAAAAAAAAAAAAAAAAAAAACTGCTAGGTGGTAGAAATCTCTCTGCCAAAGATTTACATGCATTACTGAATGGGAAGCAAGAGGGTGAATGTCGCCCTGGCCACCCTCTCCTGCCAGCATTGAGGAGTGATATTATCCTCCTCTGAATACCCATTCCCTTAGCAGGTTAGCCCAGGTGCAGCCTTTTATTTCTTTGTTTCTGTGCTGCCTGACACAGAGCAAGTGTGCTGTAAGCCTTCCATGGTGATGCTACCTTAGCCAGAGAGGACACAAGATTCTCATGAAATGAACCAAAAAGAGAAATCAGATCTGAGTTGGAATACTTGTGAATTTCTTTTGGCCTTGCCCTCTAATTCTAATTAACTTTGCCCTAATATTTTTACATTTTGGACATATGGCCTTGCGTTTATTTTCATAACTATAAATGACCTTTTAAACACTGAATAAAGGTCTTAGGATTTGCTTTAGAGAAAATGAAATGTTAGACCAACAAATGGATACTGTGAATCAATCCTATACAATGTGCTTGTATCAAAATACTTGGCAATTTATAAATAATAAGTATGGAAATTAATGAGCTATGTATAAATCAGATCATCTATTCTTAAATCGTACCAATCAATACAGCTAGCTTAGGCTTTCTACTTAAACACTCAATGAAACTAATGACTACAGGAATCATCATGTGCAAAAGAATCACAGAAATGATGCCACATCCCTATTTCAACTTTTTTTTTTGACATCTTGAACAGAAAAATCGGTTTTGGCCCACCCAATATCTTGTCCCACTTCTGCCCAAAGATGCCAATGGTACTTCTAGCTTCATTAGAAAAGAGAGGAGGGAGGAGGATCAGAGCAGTCTCTGGAGTCATCCCATGCAACAGAGCATCTTAGGCTCTAGAGCTTCCTCCTCAACATCACAAGAAACAAGGGATCAGTCCTTAGTACCCAAGGAACTGCAGGACAGTGGTTATAAATATTGTTGTCCTGAGTACTCTGGCCATCTTGAACCAAAATGTTTTCATCTACCTGAAATCTTTTTCCTTAAGGAAAACGTAACCAATGATGGAGAAGATTTTCAGAGTAAGTCAGATAATTTCAGTGAGCTGATGACTCACAAAGATGAATACAACTTGGAAATTGAGTCCAGCTGGACATTGCTGCAACAGAAGTCCCAACAAGTGTCTATAAATAGCAGAAGCAAGCAGGCCAGGCAAAGCAGGGTGCTCTGCTTTGTCCTCTCTGAAAGTGTTTCTCATGAAGAGAGCACATCTGGGAGTGCTTCTCAGAGCACAACGGCCCCTGAGTTTTGCTGTGAACAGCAAGATGAGAAAGAGTTATCTGCTGAAAAGAATAGCTCTCCGTCATCGATGATAAATATTAGGACAGAAGGAAACAACAGGTTGGGATATTTTTACAACAAGTTCTCAGCTCTTTATAAAGATACTAGCCATCACCTGCTACAGACTGGCACAAAGATGATTCACCAAGCCAAGCATGTGGGGACTCTGTGTGACCCAAGTGGGCTCACCTCCCATGTGACAACATTCATCAGAAGCTTGCCATTTCTGAAGCACTTGCCCCTGGACATGCTTTTGAAGTCACGTGTGGTGCCATCCGGATCTCATTGTTTTCCTGAAGCTCAGGTTGGCAGCAGCAGCAGCAGCAACAAAGAGGCAAGGAGGCTGAGGCCAGAAAAGAGCCTAGAGCCTTACAGGGCCTCCACCTTCACATCTGCAGCTTTACCAGGTTCCTCGCCAAGTTCAGTTTTCTGCCTTGACTCTGAAGATGCTAGAAAGAGCTCTGCATTTAAGCAGACCCTTGTGCAATTCCCAGACCAAATGCTGACATTTCAAGAATACTCTTTAAAAGACTTTCTTGAGGTTGTGACTTGTTCTCTGCCAGAACCTATAGGTGATGTCAAGGACATCAAAGGCGTTTACTGGCTTGCTGTGGCTAACTGCATAGAACCTGACCCCCAGCCAGCATGTTTGCTCCTCCTTCAGTCAACTTTATACTCTTTGGTTCTGTCAGATAAGCACGCAGGCTCAATGGACATCTTTCATGTTCTGCCTCTTTCTGGACTACAAGAAATTCAGATTGGCTTTGGTGGGCAGAGCATTCGATTCCTGGGATCCACAGAGGCCCTTCTGCTCACTGTGTTTAGTTACAACAAAAACCTCTCTCAACAGTTATGCCGTGACCTCCTGTGTGTCCTGATGTCAAAGTCTGAAGCTGCTGCCTTTGCGAATCATCCTCTACTCCAACAAGATCTAGTTCAGCTTTCTCTGGATTGGAAAGCAGAAATCCCTGATTTAGTTTTAGCAAATGGAGTCCATTTGTCATCCAAATTCCAGACTACCTTGGTTGACATGGTTTACTTTCTTCATGGAAATGTGGGAGTCAATATCCTTTCTCTGGCAGAGGTTCAATTACTGCTCTACACAACGGTCAGGGTTGAGGGCGAGCCCAGCAATGACCAGTGTCAGTCACTTGTCCTTCTGAATACCCACATTGTGCTTATGAGGGAAGATCGTGTGTTTTATCCACATACACCATCTCTGAACACACTTCCTCCACGTACACAATTTGATGTGATCAGATGCTGTGCTTTAAGTGAATTCAGGTGTGTTGTTGTTCCAGAGAAGAAAAATTTATTAACAGTAGAACTTGTCTTCTTGCAGAAACTTAGGCATTCATCAGTTTCAGGAAATAGCCCTTCTGCACCCTTTCAAGAAGGCCCAGGTGTCCAGTTGTTTATGAACCCATTGCATCTCCAAGATAGTCAGCATGGGGCACCTGAAGTCTGGAAACTGATTTTCAATTCTCAAGATGAAGCTCTTTGGCTAATCTCACATTTGACAAGACTCTAGGAAGGAGACTTTTAAAGATGCAATACATTTTCTGAGATCTTTAATAAAAGGAACATTTACTACAAGGGAAAACAGTCAAGGGAATACAAATATCTTGGTGTAGCTAATCAAATTGGAATCGGGAAAAAGCAGACCTCTGAAGTTAAATGTAAATATTTGAAATATCTGCTATAAAATGAAAATACCTGATTGCAGAGGACTGATAAAATATCTTTATGACCACCTGCTTCATTTTCTTGAAACTCGGGCTTGCAAATTTGCATCCACCTCATCATTTGTCAGATGATTAAAGCATTTCTGATTGTTTGGCTTCGTGTTGATTTATAGTCTGGTGCACTGGAATCTGTCTAGGCCTGCTAGCTTCTAGCAGGCTAATTTGCACTGCCTGAAAAGTGCCCAGTCTGGCAGTGACCTTCATTGACATCCTCCATTCCAGCTGTGATTAGGACAGTGATGTGGCAGAACACATTAGTGCTACACCACGCTTCCTGTAAGGACCCAGATTCCACATGTCCTCCCATCACTGCGGTACATGGAGTAGAGCCAGCAGTGCCTGTCCTACACTGTTGTCTTCCCCAACCAATTGCCTTTTCTTGCCTTCTTTCGTCCTTCTCGACTATTCTCTTTCAACCAATGTGATTTCAGCTCCTAACTTGTCAGTAGTTTTTAGTACTCTTCTCCTAGTCTCCAACCCCAACTTCCATTACATTCTAGTTCTTTCTCTGAATTTCTGTCCTAGAAAGACTTGTCATCTTAAAGTCTAGCTTTTTCTAATGGCTTCTTTCTACTGTCTTGTCAAATAAACATATGGTTGCCTCCAAAGTGCATTCAGCACTTTTCCCTGGCTTTTCTCCCTCTTGCCTCACACCAAACCCATCATTTGTATTTGAAAGAGGTGTTCTGCTGGTCTGAAGCAAGTTCACATTCTTACCTGCCTGAGGAGGATCTTCTTTCCACTAAGCAGGTCAGTGGTCAGCATCCTCTCTCAGAGGCTCCTAGCTCTCCCCTACAAGATCTCTCTCTCTTCTTACCCATCCTTTCTGTCTATAGGATTCAGTAGTACTGTGAGCAACCAGGGATAACACCTCCTATATTTATTTTTTATTTCATCTGGGGCTAGTTGCTTGGCCATTATTCTCATGCCTCTGCTAAACTCCAGAATCTCAGAAGGGAGGAGCTCTGCCTCTTTTGATCCATCCAGTCTACTTCCATTCTCAGCTGGGATCATGCTCAGCCAGGATAGCTACTCTGCAGTGTGGTGCACAGTTGAGTGAATCAGTGATTTTACTCACCTGCTCATTTTAGCCCTGGCACGTAAGGGACATTTTCTATTCTGGTCAAATCTTTGGGAAATGTGCACCACACCACAAATGTACCCCTTCTTCATTCCTGTTACTAATTGATGACAGGGACAGTCCCAAAATTTAACCCACTCTGAAACTTACTATCTTCTGAGACCAGGAAGTGCATAGCTTCCCTCCTTCCATCATCAGAGCTAATGACAAGTTATTGAGCTGATTCTACATTTTCACCTATTTTTTCTCCTCTAGTCTCTAGGGAAGTGAAGAGGAGAACACAGGCACTTGGTTGGAGAATATGCTATGATCCACAGACTGGTGCTATAGCTTTGTTTGCTCTAGACCAATGGAGGCTTTTTGATTTTGAGTCAATTGAATTCTCTTGTTTTCAGGTGGATTATTGTCATTTCCAAAACACCTCTTTTTCATACATGCATACCTTATTGCCTCATACCTGAAGGCTTTTAACTCTACATAGAGGTGTTATGGTTTGGCTATGAGGTGTCCCCCAAAACCTTCTATTAATACAGAAATATTAAGAGGTGAAGTGATTAGATTATGAAAGCTATAACCTAACCATTCCATTCTTGCTTGAATGGACTGGCTGGATGGTAATTGTAGGCTGATGGAATGTAAGTGGGTCCCTGAGGTATGTCCTAGAAGGTGACAATTTCCCTGTGACCTCTTCTATCCTCCCCCTCCTGCTTCCTGGCTTCACCATGAGCTGAGCAACTTCCCTTCACCAGGTCCTTCTGCCATGATGTTCTGCCTCATCTTGGACCCAGAGCAATGGAGTCTGCAGTCTGTGGACTGAGACCTCAGAAATTGAGCCCCACATAAACTTTTTCTGACTCTAGGTTGTTTTTGTCAGGTGTTTTGTTCACAGCAACATAAAACCTGACTAAAACAAGGTAAATCTTTTTCAGTCTTGGAAAAAATTCTTAAAATCACCAGGATGCCTTTTAATATCAAAACTATTTCTACTAATTTATTTTCATGTATTCTTTCACTTTTCTCAACTAATTTATTTTCCATTACTTTGTCTTAAAGTGTCCCATTCCATATTTTCTTATACATCTCTGATAAGAAAACCAGAATTAATGATCATTAAGACTAGAGAGTAGAATTTAAAATGCCAGCATAGGGCTAACAATTGAAAAAAAGTAGCAATATAGAGTAATACATTATTTTTACAAAGAGTGTTAAATATTAAACAAACCAGACTTGCTTGTCCTCATAGGTACAAAACCATAATTCTACCATGATAAAAATAAAGGTCTTTATTATTTCTCATAGCTGGAACATAGAGCAAATATGAGCATTGCATAAATTTGTATTAATCATTATGGCTTTTCCAGTCTGCTTTACGATCCAAGTAGGCTACAGTGGGAATCTCACTACATAATAGAAGCAAACTACAGCATTCAAATTTTATGTGTTACATCTCTCAGCTAGGCATACTCTGTACCTTGAGATAAAATATGGTCCTTGGGAATGAAGTTTGATTTACTATCTGTGAAGTAGGTATTAAGATTGTTATAATGCCTGTAGAAAATAGTGGAGTTGTTTTTACCATTATCTACCATGACGTCAGCCATAACAACCTCCTTCTGGCTCATTGTTTAGGAGTTCTGTACCCAAGACACTCTGTAGTAGAGCAGGTATAACTCTAGGTATTTGATAATGTAACATCTCAGTTGTTAGGAGTTTCTGAATCAGGAAGTAATAGGTTCATATATACTTGGTTGTGTGGCACTTGCATTGTTGTAATATAGGCATAAACATTTGCATTGTGGGACTTGTTGATACATTCTAGACAAACATCTCTTTGAGTACTTTTGAAATGGTTATTTCATCTAAATTTGATTAAAACCCATTTTGCTCACAGATGCCTGTCTCACAGGCAGGGTGAATGTATTTAGACTTTGTTGAAAAAACATTTCAAAACAGTTTATCTCCCCAATCTCATTTCTTTAAAAATGTGCATGCTTCCTGTTGGAAGAGAACACTTAAGTATTCCAGCAGTAATAATTACAGCAATTTTAATTACATTCTTTTTCCCAGACAATTTAAATCTTTGTGTGATAAAAAGATTTTAATTAAGTTTATTCATGCTTTTTTGATAGCTGGGCAGTCTTATTGAATGAGCCATTTTTTGATGAGGTCATTTTGTTAATGAAGTTGAACAGTCTCCAGTATGTAACTTAGACACCTTGTTCCTCAAAACTTCTTTTGTAACAAATGTTTTATCAGTCAGCTATTGCCAAGTAACAAACAGCAATCCAACACTAAGTTCCATACCAAAAAGTTTTTTTTTTTCCACTGCTGGTTTGCAAGTAGATGAAAGTGGCTCCGCTGTAGGATAAAAGTCATCTTCAGCTCAGTGAGGGTTGTTCTTCCCCATTTGTCTCATTTGGGGGTTTGTGCTGAGGGAACAGTAGCCATCATGATGGTGAAAGAAGTATAAAAGGGCAGCCGTGAAATCCTCTGCTGGCTGGCATCATTGTCTACTAACTTCCTGTTGGCCAACATGAATTATTAACAGAACCCAAAGTCAAAAAACAAGGAAGTATAGTCTATCCATTAAGAAGCTCTGGCAAGACTATGGATGTTACCACTATGAGGAGAAAAGAATTAGGACCAGAAATTTAGTCTGCCATCGATGCTTTATGTCAAAGTTCCCAAAGCTTTTTTGAAGTTAAGGCTCAAAAAACTTAAAACTTATCCGGTTTTTCCCTATTGGAAACATTCAGAAATTGGGAAGAACATATGTTCTAGGACCTTTAAAGTTACCTGGTTCAACTGTTTTCTAATTCAGTCTATGCTTGAATATCTCCATGAATGGGCTGATCACTTCCTACCACTGATTGAGTTTATTCATGGCAGACTGCTCTTATTGCCAAGCTGTTCTTTCTGTAATCTCCTTATACTGCTATACATCCTCAGTCTTGTCTAGCCAAAGCACCTTCTGTAACAAATAAAGCCAGTCTATTCTATATGTTGTATTACATCACAGCCCTTAGGATAATCCTCTCTCTGCCTCTGCTAATTTTTTCTTCCTTCTCTTTAATGCCCTTAGTCCCCACTGTTCTTTGCACAATAGTTTCCAAACCATTGCTGTGTAAAGTTGTGTTAAGGATGCACCTTTGCAATTTGTTAAAACTTCCTTTTTAAGAAATGGAACTGAACAATCCAGGTGATGAGAAGGAAAGAGATTCTATTGTAAATTAATCCACTGCCCTTATTTGGTTAAAATCTGTTGTTGAAGATGTAGAGCATTACTATTATGAAAATAATTCCAACTATTATGTATATTGTAATTTACTAAGTGCAGAGTTTTTGCCTATATATTGTACCTTTTTATTCCTAAACTCAACTTCCTGGAATCATTTCATCTCTTAATATTATTGCATTGTCACACATGAGCTTTTAGGTGACCCTAATATCTAAACCATGACACCTTCTTATTCCAGAGCATATATTTTTTCCACAATGCCAAAATCACCTCTTAGTCACTGTTATTCTCGAGGGCAAACTTTTTGTGTTTTGTATTTTATTTTTTTGTTTATGTTAGCAGTGTTAGCTATGTTGATTCTTATCTGTTTTTTCCCCTTATAATATGTAGACATTAAAGATTTTTTTCTGCTTGAGTTTTGTTATTATTGTTATTCTTGTTTTTAAGGATTGCCTTACAAGTTTCTTTTCAATTCCATTGTTTCCTTGTATGGGCCTCATATCTCTTTGTTTCTGTATTTTTAGCTCCTATAAAAGAAAAGTCTGGACACAAGCATAATGTGAATGTGATACAGGATAACCTCACGTGCTCAATGTTGCTCCTTTAGATGGAAATTTAAATAATATCCTCTACAGAAAACTGATAAAGGAAAGTGCCCCCACCCCTCCCACTTTTTATTTTCTCCTGGACCTTAGAATTTAATGCAGTTTGGAACTAAAACTAGTGAAGATGAGTGGCACTTTTCATGATTAAAGACATAAAATAGAACTAGAAAGGGGACATCTGATTTTCCCTCCTCAGGATTTCAAACTTAAGACATTTGATGATGAAAGCCATTTAACAATTTTTGCCATATTATTGGTCAGATGTACTAGACCCGATATTTAATAATCTTTTTAATAACTGTTCATTTATGAGTTATCCCGAGATGATGACCTTATTAATGGAACTAGTCTTGTGTGATTTAGACATCACAAGATAGTGCAATTTTTAATAGTTTAAAGTTGAAAAACTCCTCAGATTACCCAGTATTTTCATACCTTGAAACAATATTAGTCAACTCAGATCTGTATAGAAGAAATAACCAATTCTAGTAAGAATCATGGATTGCATATCAGCTAAGCTCAAGGTGTTCCATAACCATCTCTGTCTAACACAGTTTAGCATTTTCTGTAATTTATCCATAAGAGTATATCAAAATTAAAGAATTAATCCTGTATTTGAAAACTTATATTTATGTTTTCTGATGTGAGTAAGGTATTAGCATTGTTCATGCCAGTCTGTTAATTGCTGTCCCTGACAAGGATGAAGAAGATGTACCTGGAGCTAGTATGTGGGGCACATGTCTTGGCCAAATCCAAGACATGTATGTACTAAGCCTTCAGAGATAGCATAGTATTAAGACAACACCCTTTATAGCACAGATAGGCTTCTTTGGGAAATTAATATGAACATATCTTGGCTATAGGACACACTCATAATTTGCACTCACTCATATAGGTTATCTTTATTCTCTTTCTCATAACATGGCTCACATTTGAGATCCTACTATCACTGCCCTTACCATCCAAATCCCCATTTCCAACTGCTGGAGTATAATAAGTACTTGATACATGAGTTCTAACAAACTATCACTGTGTCATGTGTGGTTGAAAAAAAGGGGGTAATTAGACACATGTGCTACGGTGGGAATAACATTATGCTGGGAATCAGTTATTTGTTAAATATGATTTTTAAAAAGAAAATGAAAAAAAAATTGGTTTGTCTGTATTTTAGAAGTCAAGCTTGAATATGGGCTCAAGGCGATTAGATGGCAGTTCTTGGGTCTGACCTTTTCATGGTCAAAGGATGAACTGAATTTAACCAACTGGTACATAATTAGAGTGTTTAGGGGGAACTGTTGATGACTCCCTGTAGGACTGAAATGTTCCATGTTCTCTGCCGAGCTGACCGTGATCTAAGTAGATATTAAATCCACTTCCTGTTCATTTCCTCAATTGATCGCTTTTGAAGGAGACATCCTGAATGGGAAAGGAAAATTCTAATCTGAATAATTACAATGTACCCCATGTTTTGCTTATTTCTTGGAGTTAAGGCTCTGACTACAGTGTTTGATCCACAATGAAACAACAACAACCAAAAACAACAACAGGGCCTGGGGATGTGGCTCCAGCGGTAGCGCGCTCGCCTGGCATGCGTGCGGCCCGGGTTCGATCCTCAGCACCACATACAAACAAAGATGTTGTGTCTGCCAAAAACTTAAAAAAAAAAAAATCAACAACAACAACAGTACATTTGTTGACACAGGACGTTATTGCTTAAAAGTTCTTATAAAAATATTTCTTCGTATTTAATTTTAAAAGGTATTTCTTATGTTGGGTACCCCTCCTATTTCTAAATAGAACCATTTCATAGTGCACTTAAAATTGCTTGTAACATCTTACAAATTTATCAATGCCAGATCTGCTGCACAGAGTGGTTCCCACACAGACAGCCTTTCTTGTTTCTTCACCTTCTCCTAGTATTCGACGTTACCAGCTTCCCCCTCAGAGTCAAAGAATCTTCTTTGCTGCATATAGGAAAATTGACTGATTCTAAAATAAAGAATGTCACAGATATTTAAAAGCTCCCATAAACAATGGGGTGTAATGTGGTACAGCTCATATTTACATGTCTAGTATAAAACTAAAGATATTAAAAATATAGCCACTTTCAAATCAAGAATAAATTTCAGAGACATTTATGTTCCTTTTCCTTCCTGTCCATTATAAACATAGTTTAGTAGGACATCAAGAAACTTTTACACTGTTTTCTAAGAATTCTACATTTCTCATGAAATTGGCTTCATAAAATAATTTTTAAAGTTACACTGCAGCAATGATTTGATGGAAACTCATACTTTTTAATTTTTCTCCATATTATAATTTTGCTCAAATATCTTCAGGTCTCTGCCTTATATTTCAGCTGTTCATTTTTGATGGAGTTGGTTTCTGTATACTTGTTAATATTTAGTTCATAGGAAATCAGTGAAATTGAGCTAACCTGTAGTCAAGGATGTTAGCAGAGGCTCTGGCAATTTTTCTGGTCTTCAGCATGCTGAGTAATGAGAACAGGAATATCTCCTCAGCAAGGAATATGCTACACTTCCCCAATATGCTACACTTCACCCTGATGGGTTCTAGTGACCAGTCTAGCTAGAACCATTCATTGAGGTATGCATGCTGGTGCTGGTGTGTAAAGGGCTGTCCTGGATTGAAGTTAGTAGATCCGGTCATTCCCATTAACTGATCCTTGTTCAATTAATATGCCTAGTGAAATTGTTTAAGGCAGGTTTTTTTGTTTTTGTGTTTTTGGTGGTGGTAGGGTTATAGACAACGTATGAGCCAGAGCCTTAGGCTACTGTCTTTTCATTAGGGATTGATTTCATAGCATGCATTTTCAGAGAACTTTTCCATTCATAAAATGCCCATGTAGTAACCAGACCATCAGTTGCAGCCTTAGCTGAAGATTTATTTTTTTTATTTTTCCATTTTGGAAATTCACTTATAAAAAAAGAAAGTTTAGGTAGCAAATTCTATGTTTAGAGTAGAATCTATCTAGAATGGAAACATTAAATCTTCATTTACAACTTAATGGAGTTGAGGGAAACTGAAGGTCTTAGAAATTGCAAATGTTTTGCAAAAGTCATTTTATATTCAATGTGAATACACATTTTCCATGTGATGTATAGTTGGTGCCTTTTTTTTTCCTTTGTACCAGAGATTGAACCCAGGGGCACTTAACACCTGAGCCACATCCCCAAATCTTTTTATATTTTATGTTTTATTTATAGACAGGGTCTCATTAAGTTGCTTAGGGCCTCACTGAGTTGCTGAGGCTGACTTTGAACTTGCAAGCCTCCTGTCTCAGCCTTCTGAGCCACTGGGATTAAAGGCCTGTGATATGGTGCCCTGCTCGATTCATGCTTCATAAGTAGAAGATGGTAATGTTTAATTGCATATTCTAGAGGTGAACATAGGAATTTGGAAAGTAAAGATTAAGTTTTCATTGCAGCTTACAGACTATGCCTCTGAAGTTTTGTCTG